GACTATGCGGCTCCTGAAGAGCCAGTTCCTGCCTCTGACGACTACCCTGCTCCTGAAGAGCCGCTTCTTGTACAGCCAGTATATGCTGCAGAAAGCCACCACGGTAGGGTGTCGTTAGCAGATGTTAGTCTCTATGAAAACTGGAAAAGCCTTTCGCCGAAAAAGAGGAAGAAGAGGATTCAGATCCTCGCAAAGAAGGGTCTTCCTGTCCCAAACAAAGACGGCATCATTACAGTTTTAGTGGGCTAGGTTTTTCTTTGGCGAAATAGGGTTTGGGGCTCCCGACTTCCTCTTGCCATAACTAGAAACAGATACAACTGTGCAATGCAACTACATTCCCGAAAGTGAATTTGATAGTCACCGAAGGTCCCTTTATCCAGATCTATCGCAAGATGAAGCCAGCCGTGTGCGCATATTCCGAATTAGATGTTTCCTGAGCGTAACCTGAGCGTAACTACGCACAACCTTCCGTATTTGCACTTCATGCCTTTTGACCAGCAGAACGTACTCCACTCACGCTTCCAATTGGCATCCAAAGCCCTACAGATTTGGCATTTTATAAGACTCTTTGCCATACCTGGCACGTAGCGTGATTCATGCCGATACGATCCAATTTCTTTCCATCCTCGGCCGACTGCAGTCAAGGCATACGTTGAATGTGATGGAAGCTTACTAGATAGGCACCTGAGGATGGTCGCGCCACGTATGAGCATTTGTAATCGAACACCTGTACGGCGAAATCGGTGAGGCAAAGCTAATAAGTTGGTCACATCCGTAATTCACCTTCCGCATGCGCTCGGGTCATTGGGTCTACAGTATCTAATAGAACTGTGCTAGGAAGTGACGAACCGAAGCGAGGGGAGCTAGTTGATATCAAATCGATCGTTGTCTATCGAAATCGTGGTTGAGTTCAGTGTGCCGAGCGGAAGCTATTCCCGGCCCGATGGCGGTTCCGCCTGCGGGTGATCCCGAGACCGCCCCAAGAACTCCGGAAAACTCTGCAAGGGATGGTGGTGAAGCTGTACTCCCTACCTCGATAAGCTTTGACCTCTGCAGTTTATATCAGGATGCAGTCTTCCGGCCAACCTCCTTTAACACAACAAGGCGCACAAAACTATTTCGTCACTGTACCAAGCGCTGTGACATGGTCGCCAGCTTGATTGATGCCCACAACACACCAACATCATGCCAATCCCATCAATGTCCCGATACCACAGCAGCAGCAGCAGGCAGCTATTCCAGTGATCCAGCCGTGGGCGGTAAACCCAATGCAACAAGTAGATCACCAACGCGCCCAACTGCAACAGCAACAAATGATTGAAAGTCTTACAGTAAACAACAAATTGTACAAGGACTGAGGCAGGAATTCCAACAAACGGTGCAGGAGAAAGTTAAGGAAGAGCTAAAGGCAGCTCAGCAAGAGATGCAGGCGAAATTCAAGGGAGAACTACAATCGGCTCAGCAAGAGATGCAGGCGAAATTGAAGAGAGAGCTACAAGCATCTCAGCAGGCGATGCAGGCGAAATTGAAGAGACAGCTACCAGCATCTCAGCAGGCGATGCAGGCGAAATTGAAGAGAGAGCTACAAATAACTCAGCAAGTGATGCAGGCGAAATTCAAAAGAGAGCTACAAACATCTCAGGAAGCGATGCAGGCGGAATTCAAGAGAGAGCTACCAGCAGCCCATATATCTTCGGGGCCGGTTCAGCAGCAACAGGGGGAGCAGCGAAGGCAAGAAATGCTGCAGGAGGTGCAACAGATCATACGGCAATTTCAGCAACCTGTTCAGCAGCTAGTTCGGCAGCTATTTCAGCAAGAAGTCCCGCCACTGGTTCAGCGAAAGATAGCACATCTCGCTCATCAGGTGCAGGTTCTAACGCAACAGACATCCTTGGAGGGAGCCCGCCGACGAATCTGGGAGCTAGAAGACGAGATTGAGCAACTTCGCCAGGAAAGTGCCCCGTTTGAAAACGCTTCTGTATGATCCATCGGAAGGGAGCTTCCACTTAGAGGGAGACAATGCTACTTGGGGACCACATAATTGGCTCTGTGCACTAATCCAATTCTAAAATTTTTGAAAAATAATTTCTGAACTATTCATGCTTAGCTATATATCTATCTTACACTTTATAATATTCATCGTTGGGTGAGATATAGAAGCCTTAAAAAGGGGCTTTTCTGTGGAATACAAAAGGTGGCCCGCTGGCTTATTTATAGTTTGCAAGGGGTGAGTGAACCTTCGGAGAATTGGACTTTCCAATTCGGTTTGGTTGCTAGCCTGGATGGACTGCAAATTAGCACATTTCTTGGCTTACGGAATTAGAGGAGGCATATACGGACACATGCGGCAGTATATTTACAATGCGATCACAGAGCTTGTTGATCATGAACACATCTCTCAGTGACCAGCCAATTCGTGCTCGTTCGCTATCAGACCTGGATGGTGGGATCCTACCCATCATTTATTCTCACAGTGGACGCACTTGGTGAGCGTGATGGCGTTAAACGACCCCGATCCTTCAGCAACTTCTGGCTGAACTTCAGCGGTTGGAATCAGTTCGGGTACAAGTGTCTAGACATGGGATTTCTATCCATTATGGGTTTTATCAGACATCGGAGAATGAACACCATGAGTCAACGCCATATCACCAACAATGATCGACCACGACATAACTATTTTCCTGGGGCATCAGCTTGGGAATCATTGGAGAATGATTCTGCCAAGCTTTTTGCTGGGCTGGTGAGCAACTTCAAAAGTCTGGTCAATGGCGATTTTGAGCAGTGATCAACGGCTCAGCTGCCAAACACTCAGCAATCTACCGACAAGCCGTTCAGCAAGGTTAGGGATATTACCTGGGTGACAGACTGTTGATCAATAGTTGAACTATTTTCACGCATCATCGACCGCTCATCGCTTTTATTGGGCTGAAACCTCAGTTGGCCTGGTGGTAGAAATGCGCCGCTACCTGCAAAGAAAGGAAGGTTAACAATGATGCGCCTGGTTGATCCAATTTAACGGTTATTGAACCATTTATTCTCCTTCATTGGTGTGGCTGATGCTCATGCACCCCTGTCACCTGCTAGACTAAGTGTGTTTTTTCAAGCCACCGTGATCCCCGCCCACAAGCGCTGAACAAAGTACAACGAGAGTGTCAAGGTACATCAACAACGGCAATGTAACTGGTCGTCTTAACGTCTTAAGCACCTCATCAATGTCTACGAGTAATGACTGGGCCGGAGCGGCAGCCACGCGCATATTGGCGCTCAGTTATTTAAGTTCCTCGGATGTCGAAATCAATAATTTTCTCTGCTCCTTTGCCAAAAACGTGTGGGTGTTGCTTACTTCGACGACGTGTAGCGCAATTACTCTGTCAAGGGGAAGAGTTGCATCAGTTATCAGAGGACTTCCAACATTATCCAGTTGCGCAAGGATGCGCATCGAAAAATTGCTGTTCAAGCCCGGGATTTGCGTTCGCCTACCCATCTTTTATAATCACAGCTTCAAGTCGCACAGGATAGGCCCCGAAGATCACTGGAGTTCAAAGATGAAAGTATGTGAAGACTGTCAGATGTGTTACATTGATTAACACGCGGACCATGACGCTCTTTGAACCCACCAGTCTAACCACGACATATAGTAAATGGGCACAAGCGTTGTGATATCTTGACCGGACTAGACGGTTCAATTGATGCACAGTGCAACGTCGAACATCCCTACAGGTTACAGTACAGGGTACGAACATAGCTACTGCATACCCTGTCACTGGGAAAAGGGGTATTCGTGCTGATTACTCTTTTGTTCGAGGGCTTCAAATCCACAATTGATCGGATGGCGAGTACAACCACCCTTCCACTCCTGTCCTTTGCGTTTCTTGGATGCGATTGTAGATATCCGAAGCAAGGGACATGGTTACCTACTCACGCATATGGGAAACTGTTGAAAGGAATGCCAAATTGCACTGTATCACTTTTAGTCTGTGAGACCCATCCTAGAGATGCATTTTCCTTGGCTGTATAGTTCCTGAGAGGGGACCCAGATCAAAGGCTTTCATGGCCTTGCCCTTATTCTTTCAATGTAAGTAATCATAGAATTAGTCCTTATACAATAGCAGTATTAGAGTCCATGCCGGCTTGGAAGATCAGACAAGGTATTTCGCCCGTGGCTTTAGATACCAGGTTCCAATAAGTGGTCTGTTGAAATAAAGTGCGTATTGCTCGTTCCCCGGGACACAGGCTGCATCTCCTACCTGGGCTGCTGAACTGGAGTATCATGCTTCCCTTCGTGTTGTCCGCGACACCATTGTAAGGTGGAAATATTGCTAGGAGCGACCTCAGTTCAGCAATTCGCACTCGATCAACTCATTGAGCATATTTGCAGTTTGAAGCCAACAACCGTACATGCGTTTATTTCGAAATGGTCGCTCGTCTGATCTTGAGCGGAACACTTCTGCGTTAAGGATTCCAGCATACATGTGTTGCCCACTTAGACTCTACCCCGATCCCCGACCGCGATTTAACTGTGGTAAGCATTGATTAATACGGCTAGCGCCGTTCGAAATGATGAGCTTACGAATTCGGTGTCGACGTTCAACGAAGGTGGACGCGTAAAACTCAACTACAGGCCTGCCGCAACTGATGCGGCGCATCTCGATTGTCGAATGGCTCCGCAGCAATGAGTCAGTCTCAGCGCAGTGCCACCCGATTTTTGCCCAACTCAATCTCCGACAAGGTCAACTTAGCCTCTTACACATCAGAATGCAGTCATATGCGCGGCACAGTCAGTTAAAATGTTCGCCGCAGTGACACTGGCCGTTCCGCATGAGGCTTACGATTATGAGGCTCTTGCTGTGGGCCCAGCCTCGTTGATGCTTGCCGTTCCGTTTGTGCAACATGCACGCGGACCTACAAGGTTGCCGGCATATAAAGGCCTGAGAAACGTATATAATGAGCGATGAAGACAGCTGGTCTTTTTCTGTTTCGTTGACCTCTCATCGTCATTCGTCATCGCGTCCATAGCTGTGCCGAACATGGCCTCATATTCGGACCACAACATCGCCAACGATAGCAGAAATGCCACCACAATCGACACGGCTGTCCTGGACGCCTTTATACCGGGCTACTCTGTCCTCTCACGCTTTCTGAGCTCCTATCTCCAGATCGACCTATCGTACTACCTGCCCTTTCTTGTGGTGGCAGCCGCAGCTACCGCCTCCCTGCGCTACAGTATTACAAGAATCGTCCGCCTGCTGGGGGAACACTTCACCTCGACGGCGGAGATCCGCCTCGACGACGAAATCCATAATTATCTTATGTTCTGGATGGCGCAGCAGCCGTTCACGAAGCGGACGACGCATTTCGTCGCAGGGACGAAGATCAGCAGCGGGATGCGGTACTGGGATTCCGATAACGGCGAGGGGTCGGATGGCGAGGACATCGGCGAGGACGACGATAGCGTTAATGACGACAGCGGCATGCTGGCCAACTTCGATCGGTACTGGCAAAAGGTCATAAGCAAGGACAAGTACCGCACGCTGCGGTTCACACCCGCTGAAGGGACGCATTACTTCTGGTACAAGGGACGCCCGCTGGCGTTCATCCGGGTGCGGGGGGAGAACAGCGGCGGCGTGAGTCTGCGGTGGGTGCCGGAACGGCTGTACCTATCATGTCTTGGACGAGACCCGAGCATCCTCAAGGACCTGCTGGCTGACGCGCAGCGGGCGTACGTGGCGCGCGACGGCAACCGGACGATCATCTACCGCGGGCAGAAGAGCGGGGCGGACGGCTTCGACTGGGTACGGTGTATGGCACGGCCGCCGCGGCCGCTGTCGACAGTTGTGCTGGACGAGGCGCAGAAGCAGGCGTTCATCGACGACATCAAGGAGTATCTGCATCCGAGGACGAGGCGGTGGTATTCGAACCGCGGCATCCCATACCGCCGGGGGTACCTGCTGCACGGCCCACCGGGCACGGGCAAGACGAGTCTGTGTTTTGCGGCGAGCGGGCTGCTGGGCTTGACGCTGTACCTGCTCAGTCTGAACTCGAAGAGCCTCGACGAGGACAGTCTGATGTCGCTGTTCTCGGAGCTGCCGCGGCGGTGTATCGTGCTGCTTGAGGACGTTGACAGCGCGGGGATCACACAGAAGCGCGCAGACGATGACTCGACCGCGTCGGCCGTGCTCGTGGAAAAGGACAAGTCCAGCGCCGAGGAGAAGGAGCCCGAAAAAAACAGCAACAATGGTGTTTCGCTCTCGGGTTTGCTCAACGTCATCGACGGAGTCGCCGCCAGCGAGGGCCGGATCCTCATCATGACCACTAACCATGCGGAGGAACTAGATCCGGCTCTTCTCCGGCCAGGAAGGGTTGATATGACTATTGCTTTCGGATACGCTGACCGCGATGCCTTGCGCGAGCTCTTCTCGGCTATTTACAGCATTCTCGAGAATGATGCGCGGGCATCTAGGATGAAGTCCGTCAGAAAGCCATCAGGACAAGGGGAGAAGCAACATGTCAAAGCTACAGTCACTCAGTGGAAGGGGCAACGCTTTTTAAACGAAAAGATTGAAGAACTGGCGTCTGAGTTTGCATCACGCATCCCTGAGGGTGAGTTCACCGCTGCTGAGATCCAGGGTCATCTGCTCAACTACAAGAATGAGCCGGAGGCTGCTATCAACGCGGTTGAGGAGTGGGTGAGGAGCGTTCGAGCCAAACGAAAGGAAAAGGAACAGTCTAAATGATATAAACCCGTGATATGCACAACATTATGTGCCATGAAACGATACATTAAACAGATTGAAGCATCATCATGCCATCTGTGAAAATTCACCCACCTGGCAAACACTTGCTAAAAATAAAGAAAAATGGCTAGTCAAATATACTCCAAGAATAAGATCCTAGACCATTGAAATTATCATAAAGGGTATCGCAATAGAAAATATGTAATATATGTATAAATAGCCCACAGGGGCAGAAAATATTGCAAGAAGAATATCCACAAAACACCTCCCAACCCAATCAGTCAGTCGTGGTGGTGACACCAGTTTCCGGAAACCCTGTACCCTACGACAAGCTACGAACTTCGCTCACAGATACCCTACCGCAACCGAAACTTCTCATCCCTGTTGTAGTTGTCTCTAGGATGGAGGTCACGAGGCTGATTGAGGCGGAACAACTTTACAGTATATATGGCCCCTGGCGAGCACGCTGGGTAACTGCTACCGTCAAGCAGTTAGGACGATGGATTTCTACCTTCTCGCGGTGTCCGGTGTCAGTGACGTCAACGCCGTCAGCCAGTTCGAGGGAACCTTCCCGGATCGATCCACCTCTCTCCATCATACAGTTCAGGGGCGCGCCATGAACATTATCCACCGGCTATTAACGAAGGAGACCCTTGATCCAAATGTCGCTGACGAACAGAAGTGGACTCCGCTCGGTTTGGCAGCCGACCAGGGGGATGTTGAGACGGTGGAGTTGCTCCTCACCCGGCCAGACATCCGCATAAACGGGGTCGAGGGCAAAGAAGCTCCACCGCTCTGTTTAGCGGCAAGAGAGGGCCATACCCAAGTAGTGCATCGCCTGCTCCAGTGTCCAGGCATTGACATTGACCAGGGATGGGGTGCCTACCTGCCACCGCTTCTGGCTGCCATCACCAAAGGCCATTCCAACATCGCAATGCAGCTGCTTGCGTTCGGGAAGCGGTTGAACGTCAACATCCGAACATACGCGGAAGAGTCCGCACTGTCACTGGCCGCGCGTCATGGAGACCTGCAGGTAGTCAGCAGTATCCTGTGTGACAGCCGCACAGACCGTAACAGTGTTGACGATCGGGGACGTACTGCATTATGGTGGGCAGCTCATGCGGGGAAAAGTGCCGTCGTGGAACGGTTCCTGTTGGACGATAATATACAGGTCGATATAAGGGACGACGACGGGATAGACGCCCTGAATGCAGCGAGTAAACAGTATCATTTCGATATTGTCAGGCTCTTACGGACTCACCGGCCAGGGCATCATCACGGTGTCGGTGGGTCTCGCCCGCTTATGGCTAGCAATTAGTAGTGCTGCCGCCAGCGGAGTCACAGGCTGGTTCATTTTCATACAGTGTATGCATCCCGGAGCGTCGTGGGCTGGTAGCGGAGGACATGCTCAATTTGTTCTTCTGCCTGCAAGGAGTCACCTGAACTCCGGATCTCTCTCGAATATCGCCCGCAAATTTAGTGATCGTTATTCGGGGATATCTTAGAACTGACATATTCACATACGCCAGCTCTGACTAAAGCTCTATACTGTTGAGCAAGCATTCTGTAGCAGGGTGTCCCGCACCCTTGTGGCATTTAGGTCCCGACAACCGGAACATTTTTCCCAGTATCTGACCAAGGTCCTTTTTCATCACAGGAAGTCTTCAGTACTGAAATGGTAGAGTACTAGTATGACGTGACCGCAGTCCAGTCTCATAATGGCCATCTGAGTATAATCTGTTCGTAGACAGACGGCATGAGGGGTAGCATGCGTCAAAGAAGTTCAAGGGTGAATCAGAACAAGGCAACGCACACGTAGTACAGCTGGTGGTGGTGGTGGTATTCATACCCTGACCCCTCGCCTAGGCGACATGCAGGACCCAACTATCACTATCTCTATGTACATCTAGGTACAGTAAACCATTACATCCCGACGAATTTAGAGCCTCGTCAAGGCCTATGGTGGCCTAAGTGCCTGATGTTCTGTTCTGCGGCCCCTTTGGCGCGCGGCTTCGAAACCTTTCAGATGCCTCTGCAAAGTCCAGTACAGCACCTAGGGTGCGACCGTCCTGCGCGGCCTCGTTTAACCTACGTTCCTTACTATGCGGTCCCCCTCCGAGCATATCTGAGACATTGTTGAATGCACTTCCGATCTTCCTCCGTAGTATGTTCCGCAAGTCTTTCAGCTTCGGGCAGTCCACTAGCACGTGGACTACTGTTTCTTTAGCTCCACACTCACACCTGTCGTTCTCCTGGAACTTATGCCGCTTGCCGTGTGTCGCCAGCCATGAGTGGCCGGTTCGGAGCTGTGTGAGTAAGTAGGCTCGGCTTCGCGGTAGCGATCCATACCTCCGCCGCGCACGGATTGAGGGTAGAGTCGCGTCGATCTGGCGAAGGTGCCCTCCTTTCTTAGACGATTTCCATTCTTGTTCCCACTCTTCCCGGATTTTGCGGCGGTCTATGTACAGTGATTCTCAAAATCGGTCTGACCATCAAGCACCCACATGAAGATAGTTTTATAGCCCCACTGCCAAGAGCTTAGTTTGAATATATTATTGAGCCACCCACTGCGGCAGTAACTTTTGTCGTATATAGCACGTAGGAAGCACTGTATCAAATTATGCATACCGTCCTTCCTGCGTCTGTCTGACTTGGGGCCCCCGTGTAAACTAGTTCATCCGCCCGAGATGCCCGACAGATGTGTCTCCTTGCACGTCGTACCTCTCCCCCAGAATAGGAATCCAAGATATCACGACTCCCTAGTCGACAAATCCACGAAAGCTGGTTTAAACATTTATTCGAACCTCTAACCTTTTCCGTGATTGAAGACCGCGCTAAAACTTGGCCAGAGGGCTGCTGAGTCTCTCCATTTTCGGATACAGAGTCGACGCGTTGGCGGGCGCACAATCAGTGACACGCCGGCCAAGCTCCTCGATCAATGCATCGGTGGCGAGTCTCTGTTGAAAAGGGATGTTTTGTGGTAACGGCGGTCGGTGCTTGTCTTGTTGACGGAAAAGCGAGCCTTAGCCAAAATACCAGATCTATTCGGAGTAGCAGAGGGCATACCACCCATAAGACGATAAGTAAGGGCTTGCCATCCAGAGCATGGCCAGGCAGTAGCCTTCAGGACTGGGGTGGAATGATATGATTATGATGGAGTGTTGGGCAGCCTATCGGATAGTAGCTGTTTAGCAAGGCCGCCATTGCGCTGCATTCTCTGGTCAAATGTATAACAGATGACGCTCCAAAGGGCAAAAATCCTCAGGCTAATTCAGGGTGGAAAATGCTTAAAAGTCTAAAAAGAAAGTCGGATATAACCGAAGTCGGCGGCCTTTGGACAAGTAGTCGTGCGAGTGCATGCTGAGACGCCAGTCGATCAGGGTGCTCTTCGGCAAGGGTTCTCTCTCTCACTGCAACCACATGCTCAAGCAGCTCCACGGCTTGCTTGATCTGACCATTTGC